TGCTGAACCCTGGCCCTAAGTGAACATGTTGCCTTAGTGAATACATACAAACAAAATGGCAATCTAATGGCATAACAGTTCAGAAGCAGGGAGGGAAATCAGAATTGAAGGACTTCAGGATGCTATAGACAAAGACAGTAAATTGGACCTGTTCATGTTGTTCCCATCTTCTTGCTTATGCTAGTTTGTTATAGAATATTCTATCTATAGTGCTACATCCAATTTAACTTTTCACTGATTTATGCAATCTCTTCCTGTGAAACCACAACACAGGTTGAGACTTTGTTATCAGAATGGCTTTTTTCAAGCTGTTCAAACTAAATTTTCACCCCAAATATTGTTGCATCTTCCAGCCTATTTTAAATCATTCCTTTTTTTTTTGTGGTGATTATCCATTCCCATGGTAATAACTACTACTTTACCCCCTTAGTCTGCATCTGAGTTAGCTATACTGGAGTCTATTTTTAATTTTTCCTTGCCAGACTTTCTTTCCAGTTCCCTTAAATAGTATGTTTTGGTGCTCTGAAGTTCCTTCAGTTCATCTTTCTGTTTGTTCTTGAAGTGTGGAGTGGTAGTGGAAAAGCACTTGTTTAAGGAGACTTATGTTGAGAGTTAGCTGGTGCTTCTACAGAAGTAGGATAGTAAGCATCCTGATGAGTTAAAACTGGTATCCTGAGAAATTAAGTCAAAATGTGTGCTGCTTCTAAATAGTTTAGCATTTTTCAAAAAGTGGGTAATCTCAAATGTTACATATTTTGGAAAGCAGGATGCATCTGGTAAAGCTAGTCTTCATTGAATTCCCACAGTGATGTCCTTTCTTTTTGTTTTTGTAGAGCTGCTGCTCGATGCAACAAAGGCATTGAAGTTTTGCTTGCAGTAGCCCTAGAACACTTTGTTCTAGTAGTGGTGAGAGTTTTGAGAGGACCTTCACCTGCAGATGATTCAGCAAAGAAAATTCGGTATCTCATCCACTGCCAGTGGTGTGAAGAGAGGATTTTTCAGAAAGAGGGTAATATGGTAGAAGGTAAATGAGGTTTTTTTTAAGAGGCATAATCCCTGCATGTTTATATCATGTAGCTCTTTAGACACACGTTCAGATCCACCATGTACAAATGTATGCTTTTACTAGAAGTGTTTTTAATATATAGCGTATAAACTAGCAGTGCCTACTGATGAGGGTATTCTTAAGCCAGCCAAAGATCTCTTCAAGAAACCAGCCTTCCCTTGTAGGAAGATAAACTGGAGGTATCAGTTTCCCTCTGGTAGTTCAAGTGTGTTGTTGTTGGTTTTTTTCATTCATAATTCCTTAGGAACACTGGCAGTAGCAGCTACTCAAAAAGAAATCCACAATCCAGTCCTGTCAAATCCACCTCTAAGGGAAAGGGGCTGGGGTAGCAGAGCCTAAAGCAGGGGTGGGCAAAATATGGCCCACAGGCTGGATCTGGCCCACCAGGCAATTTCATCCAGGCCATGGATGCCCACCAACTAATTGTACCCTGCCCAGCTCTTCACCCATGAGGGTGGGAGCAAGACACCCTCATACACAGATACTCCCCCCCTCCCCCCCCCAACATACACTGTTGCACCTCACTCCCACCCTTGTGCACGGAAGGGCCTGGCCAGCTTCTTGGTAGGGCTGCTGCTGCCACTACCATAGCTGCCCAGCTTCACCAGCATCCCACTCACTCTGGACACCAGGTAGGGAAGCTGCAGCTGGAGGGGAGTATGGGGGATGGCTGGCAGCAACTTGGAGCCTGCGCCCGGGTGAGCCACAGGAACACAGAACACAGGTGGGCAGGGTGTGGGTGTAAGGGAGGGTGGGGGGATGTGGGGACCCCCCCACACACACACTCCCCCTTCCCCCCCCCCCATGGTGTACAGCCCCCCCACTGGCAGCAGGGGTGCTTGTACCCGATGCAGGCACTGCTGCCAGTGGCGCACAACTCCAGCCAGTGCTGGACATGGGGGCAAGAAGTGTAGCCTGCTCAGCCCACCTCTGTCTCACAGGGCTCCATGCAGTGCACATGCAGCTCCCACACTCGCACAGCACCGGGGATAAGCCCCACGCAATGGAGCTGGCTGCATTCGCTGCTTGCTGCTGCGCAGGTCCCAGGAGCTGCATGTGCACCACACAACATAGGCAGGCTGGGCAGGTTGCACTCCTTCCCCCCGTATGCAGCACTGGTCAGTGCCACACACCACTGACAGCAGCACCTACTCCAGGCATGAGCACCCCTGCCTGCTGCTGCTGCTGCCACCGCCAGCAGGATCTGTGCATCATGGGACAGGGAGTGTGTGGGGGGTCCCCACACTCCCCCACCCTCACACCCCACAAACCCCACACACCCAAAGATTTAGTTCTTGATGAAGAACAGTACCTTCCATATGTTGGAAACCTATACTAATCTATTTTTTAAATATATAGACATGGCACATAAGATTATTCTGCTGTTAATATGTTGAGTTCTGAGACTTCAGATTTATACACAGTTGTTTAATTTTTTGATTTTACTTAATAATGTAATTTTATCATACTTCTAACTGTACCTCTGGTGGCCTTCAGTGTTAGGCTACTGATTTATCCTCTTCAGGCACTGTGCTAGGGTGATAAGCATATCATTTTTTTCCACCTTAAGAACAGAAATAAAATATATGTAGATGCAGTGTTAAATCCAAAATCTTAAATGCACATTTAATTGCATTTACAGTCTCTCTACATACTACATATGTACTGTGAAAATTCTCTGGTTGAACTGAATTTTATGTGCACATTCATTCATAAGTTTATGAGATTTCACTTTACCTACTGGCTTATCTATTTTTATAGTACAGTACCTTCAAGTACCACTTGCAACTATTTTAAGAAAGAGTTGGTATCTCAAGTTTGATGTTTGCCCTATTAATATTTAGAATGGACTGTAATTGACTGGGCATAGCATTTTGGTATCTATGTTTTCAATATTTTAGCAAAATGGATTAAGTATTTAAGTGATTTAATTCTGCTTTCTGGTTCAGAAAACCCTTATCGGCAGCTACCCTGTGACTGCCATGGCAGTATGCCTGGGAAGACAGCAGTAGAGCTGGGTCCTCTGTGGTATGTACAAAACACAGTCTAAAATAATTGCAAGCCTGGATTGGTATACATATGTGTCTGTTTTCTTTAGTCATGTTTAGGGACCTACTGAATTTGCAATTTTGTGGATTCTGCAAAATCCAGCAATGCCCATGGAATTCACAAAATCCATGGGGGGGCGGGACTTACTGAGCACTGCAGTAGCTCACAGTGGAGGGGAGGGGTTGCCTGCTTGAAGGGCTGCCTGTCACATGCCTCCCTCCTTCCAATTGGTGGAGAGAGGTGGGGCTGCATGACTGATAGCCCTTGCAGCCAATCAGCAGTGAGGGGCAGTGCCACCAGGGCACCTATGCCTATCACGTGCAAAATAGTGCTCCTGCCCACATTCTGCCTGTAAAATGGGTGGGTTTGTGGGGCAGTCCCTGCAGATTAGGTAGGTCCTAGTCATGTTGGTAGATTGCAAATCTTTACACAGAGAAATAATAGTGAGGTAATCTTAAATTTTATTTCCTGGACCTGCTGAAGCAGTTCTACTGCACAAGGAAAATCTGGTTGAATAAGTGCATATTTAAGGGATCAGGGGAATAAATAGACTGTAGTGAAATTCAGAACTTTGTCTGAAGTTTATGTACTAAATACCACTAGCATTAAAAAGCAAAGTGGCTGGTAGTCATCAACAGTTGAACTCCCTGGTTTCTTTGTACTAAAAAAATATATTTAAATTTCAGCTTTTAAGAATGATGTTGTAGAACAAAGCCAGGTTTTAGTAACAATGGTGCATTTAGCTAAGTGTCTTAAGAATACCAACCTCATTTTGACAGTGCATTCCTCTGACATTCAAGCAGAACTGATAAGACATGAAAATGAGGTGAGGTGAAATACCCAGTACAACAGAGTAAGTGGCAGAAATGGGATCGGCACTCATGAGGTTATACTGACATTCTCCGAAACAAAATAGGGTACAGTGTTGAATACAAGTATAGTGCACCTGGAGATTAATGTGTGGAAATCACTGCTAAAGGTACAGAAACATTTTGGTTTAAATAAAAATGGTACAAAATATTCTATTCCTCTTAGTTTCACTGTAGTTTTGTTGCACTGTCCAGGTCAGGGTCCCTCTTTAATACTGGATTCCTCAGAAGAATGCTGTTTGAAGCTGTTCAGCACGGCTTAGATGAGATTCAGCCACTTCTAAAAACATTAATCTGTGAAGCAGAATGTACAACTCTAAAACAGTTTTCAATCCATGGTCCTACAAGCCAGAACAAGCAAGGTAAGATAAGATGACAAGCTGCTTACAAAGAACTGTTGCAGTTGTAGGCTTTTTAGACATAAAGCCACTCACTTGTTTTTATTAGCACTAAGAACTAATACTGTGCACTAGAAAAGGTTGTGAGGATGTTCCTAGCGTGAAGATGTTCCTGGTGCCATAGACAGGATTGAACAGTAACTGTGCCATGTTATAAGGCGTTTACTTCCTCTAACTATCTGATATTAGGGAAGACTGGAAGAAGGGTGGTAAACTTTGACAGATGTCTTGAGCAGCAGGGAAAAATCCTGTGTTGAGTAAATATAGTACTGGCATCTGGTGCCACATTTGACAGTTTTTTAGATGTTTAAACTGAACGAATACATTTGCTCTTCAGTGTACCAAAGCCTTACCTGGATGGTTCCTCCCTTTTTTCTTTTTTTTTTTGAGACTGAAGTCTAGTCTTCATGCTTCATAGATTTCATAGACATCAGGGCTGGAAGGGACCTCGGAAGATCATCGAGTCCAGCCCCCCGCCCAAGGGGCAGGAAGTCAGCTGGGGTCATAAGATCCCAGCAAGATAAGCATCCAGTTTCATCTTGAAGGTGTTCAATGAAGGCGCTTGAACCACCTCCGGTGGCAGGCTGTTCCAGTCCTTGGGGGCTCGGACAGTAAAGAAATTCTTCCTTATGTCCAGCCTGAAACAATCTTGAAGTAGTTTAGTCCTGGGATTCTCTGACAAGACTACAATCTGTAGTATACTTTTCTAATAAGAACAGAAAAGATGCTACAAGCTTGACTAATGCCAGTTCATATTCGACAAGCTGGTAGTGAAAGCTTTGCAAACCCATTACCTCTCCTCTTGATTATATCACTCTTACAACTTTGCCCAAGGCTGAAGAGCTTAGGGTTGCTCCTTTCAATGCTTTATATATAAAAACAACTTTTAAAGTTTTTGTTTTGTTTTGTCATAGTTCAGCTTTAATTCTGACTTTATTGTATTCTAGAAGAGTGTGGTGTATTTATTAAAACACCAGATACTTCAACTGACTACTTTGTGGTACATGGTATGTAGTTCATTTGAACGTATGTGTTATGACTGCATGCAGACCTTTTGTGCTTGTTAGACGATAAGCCATTGATAAGGTGGAAGATGTAGCGGTATTATAGTTATGTAAGCCATTCTGACAGCAGCTTGAGATTTCCCCAGCTTTTTTTTTTAATGAATGTGTGATTCATCTGCAGTGAAGATTAATGAATTCTTTTTACAAATATTTTAGCTTTATCCATAATGTTTCCTGGGAAACAGCAAAGAGCTAATACTAGCTTTACAAAGGAAGTCTAACATACCTCTGCAGCACTTCCCTCCTATGGAGATGTTAGTTACAGAAAACCTTGCAACAGAAAGCTTTAAATTAGACAAGGCTTCATTTGACAAGGCTTACCATTTCTAAGGAAAACATATAGAGGTTTTTTTTCTTTTTTTTTTCCCCATAAATGTTGTACTTTAATTTTTAGAGACTTGAGCTTTCAGACCACTCATGGCATCTGTGGGTGCAGGGTTTTCCTTACTTACCCTCACTGGCATGTTCCTTGTTTCAGGTAAAAGGAAAAGTAATGAAATGATTCGAAACGCAACAAAACGACAAAAGGCTGAGAGCAATGCTGAACACCCTGCCTTTTATTATAACATCCATAGGCACAGTATCAAAGGAATGAATATGCCAAAGTAAGGAACAGTCAAATTCCAATTTGCATTTTTATCAAAATATATGTAATAAAGGGTGCAGACAGAAGTGATAACTGAAATGTTTCAAATTTCTTTGAAATACTTGAAAGGGCCAGTTGTACGTGGCCCTAGAAATGTTTCAAAAGTGGCTCAGACATTCCAAAATAATATCTCTTGAAGTGAGGTTCAGGGATTTGTGCCAGGAGGCGCAGGAGAGGTACAGCCCTGGTGTGGGGAGTTGGAAGCAAAGCTATAGGTCTCTGTAGTCCCTTGTAGTGTCCCTTGGGTAGAGAGCCATGGCTGCATTTGTAAACTTTGAAACATACCACTGGGGGGGTGGGGCAGAGCCTACTGTAGAGGCTATTCATATGTCCCAGGGCTGAAGTAAGACCTTTTTAAAACATTTCAAAAGCTACTTCTGTCCACACCTTAACTTGAAAGAGGCTAACCTATGATAACCAATTCATTTTTCAGGTTAAACAAATTCTTACAGTATCTGTCCCAAGCTGGATATCGAGTAAGTCGAACCCATTTTGATCCTATGGGAGTTCGTACAAATGCACCCTTGGCGCAATTTAAATCTATCCTTGTAAAGTACAGCACTCCCACTTACACTGGAGGACAGGCAGAAGGCCCTGTCCAGTCAACTGAAGATGCCCAGTCTGGGGACTATGTCCAAGCTTCAGTAGATGACAAATCAGGAAATACCGAAGTCACAGATGATAAATCAGGAGCCAGCACCTTGTTGACAAAAGATGACAATTCCAATGATATTACTGCTGCTGAAAGCAATTAACTGTATGTTTTGAATTCAGAATTTTAGAGTTTTGCAACAAGGCAGTGGTCTTTACCAAACAGCACTGGAAGGTTTTGTTTGCCAGGTACTTTAATGTGCGAACACATTTTCAAATTAAGTAGCAACATTGGTGATTGATCACAGTAGGTGTGGTCAATTTACAGTTAGTCAGGAATGAGATTGGAGGGCTATTTACCTTTTTATATTCCACTTTCCATTTTCAAACTGTGGGACTTCATGACTAACCTCAAATCTTTTTAAAGCCTTATTCAAACTCCTAGTGCAGTGTTCAGAAAAGAAGGGGCCAAAAGTCTTAAGCAATTTTGTGAGCGTTGCTAGAATAATTTAAGTATGAAAGGGACAGTCATTCCTGCAGCTTATCCGGTTAGAATTTTACAAGACGCTGTCTTATGAAGACACCAGAATGCTGCAGAATAAAATGCAGCACTAATTTTAATGAGTCAGAAAGAAAGTGTTGATAGACTAATTTTACTGCTAGATAGCAAGCTTAATTTGGCACACTGAGCCATCTGTTATGCTTTGCTTCTAGCCAAAAAGAGTAAACACAAGTGGAGAGGGGAAATGAAGCTACAACCTTTTTTACTGTTTGAAATTTTTATATTTAGCTATAAAGCAAGTTTTCAGTGGACAGATTTGTCACTTTAGGCAGCTGTTTTTCTGTTCAGAGAATCTGGACAATCACTGGAAACAAGGCACTGAGAAATGGTCAGTTCAGTAGGATTTAACATGGGAATCCTATATTCAAAGTGGTACAGTTTGATTAAGTTAGCATCTTTGTATAGGTCAGTTCATTTATCACAAAATTCTCTAAATTAGCTTGCTTGTGAATTTCCTTTTACAAGTCATAAACGTAGTTTTTTCTCTTCACTGCTAGAAGTATCTTTTGCTGAATATGTTGAAAAGACATTGTGTTTGGTAAATAGTCATTTCTGGTTTCCTTAAATATATAGCATTACTCCAGTCCAACAAACAAATCTTGAGCCTTGATTTTTTTTCTTCTTCTTAAAACCCTTAAGGCTTCTGTGCTAGTTTCTCTCCTCCTGGTTCTGGGACGTACTTCATTCTGCTTTTCAAACAGGATCTTCCCCCACCCAGCGAGTATAAATGTTTCAGTTTTAGTGGTGAGTTTTGCAGACTCTCTCTCTAGTCCTGTCACAAGGCACTTCCTTTGGAACAGTTCCATACATCACTGTATCTAATGGGTGGGGGAGCAGAAATCAATCATGAATAAGTAATAAGTATGGGGGGAGGGGTGGAAATAGTACATATTCTTGAGATGTACTATTTAGCATCCATGTACTGTGCTAAAGCAGGGACATCAAGCACACACACAGCCATTTCCTGGCAGACCAGGGAATTTAGAGGTGGGAGCTGCTCTAGGATTCTGCATTGAGCATGGCTGCTAGTGGCAGGGGATGAGGAAGGGCTAGGCTGCCACAGTTCTGTTTGTGCCACTGTCTCCATCGCTGGTCCCACTACTTCCACATCTGGAACTGGTCTATGAGGAGCTCCACAGTACAGATCTTGCCCAGGGCAAGTTTGATTCCCACGTGCTAAAGAAAACACAAACTAAGAAAATTCCACAAATGATAAAGAGATTCTCAAGTCCAAATCAGGAAAAAAAATCAAGTTTTTCAGGTTGGTGAGTTTGAACTCAATTGTCTATTGGAACATTCACACCCATGTGTTCATACTAAGCATTAGGAAAAAAATCAATTCCAATTATAGTAGAAGTACCTACTGCACTGTTGTTCCCTTACAGCAATCAGCATCAAACTATTTAATTGAGGATGTCAGTAACAGCAAGGAATTTTTTTTCTTCAGTGTTCTGAATTAAGACAGGTTGCCTAGAATGGTTATTAGCACTATAAAGTTCACTTTTCCTATTCATTAAAGTGTAGGCCAAAAGGTAAATTCTGTATACCTGGAATGGTAAGATCTTAATTACATCCAGAAGCAGCCTTTAAAGCTTAATCTTAGGTTCTCCCTTGCTCCCCACTCACCCTTGCTTTGGGTGCTTACATAAAAGATAATTCTTTCAAGGACAGCATTAAATGCTGAAGCAGGTTCATCTATTTCTGGGCTTGCTTCAGTGAGACTGCAGCCAAAGGAGAGAAAGTGAGGGCTTCTGTCCTGAAAATCCATGAAAGGAAGGTTCTCAAGGCCCAAAAGAAAAGCTACTTTATCAATTATTATTTCCTCTCCTTCCTTGCCTTTTTTAACTAGAAAATATCCTAGCCCACTGCTAAAGTGAGGGTAAGTGATGTCACAGTTTACTGCACAGCTTCATTGCAGCACTCTGTGACAATTAGGAAGTATAGAATAGGACAGAGGTTGGCAACATATAGCCTATGGAGCCACTGAATTGCTGCAATGGAAGTAGTAGTTTTTACAAGCTACTGTCAGGACAAGCAAGTCAGCTCTGCCTTGTCCCAAAAGGAGCAACACAAGTGCTTGTGAAAAAGTCATCCCTTCTCATTTTCCTCATGGAGATGTCTCTTCTGCACAACTGAAGAAGACAACATGCTAGCATATTTTCAGTAGTCTAGAATTACTGAACAGATAGAATTGTTTAATGGATACTTGAGATAATTAAAAGTTCTAGTTATAGAACACAATTCAGAACACAACTCTTAAATTGCATTACTATGAAGAGTTTATGAGCTCACAAACTAATAATTCTGTTGGATATAATTTTACAACTTATCAGAAGCTTAAGGGAGGCTGGAAGTAAGTTTAAGAAAAGAAGCTAACAAGGTGCAAGGTATCTGAAGAACAAATTTTGTGCTACACCTATATTTTAAAGTTAACTGCCGATTCTCCTTGCCTCAATGTCATATTATGAAAGAAAATGTAGTTGCGTTGGAGTGTTATAGCATTTGGTATAACCACGTTCTGGACCTGAGAAAGGGGGCTTGGCCAACAGCTCTTTCTACATAGTTGGTCCAGTAAAAGATGTAAAAAATACTTGTCTCTCAAAAGAAAATGGAAATTCAGAGAAGTGGCTGGCTTTAGATAAAATTATACCAAATCTCAGTGTTTTAGCACTTGGACTAAATCAATGTAGTCAAAAGTAATTACAAACAGATTTGGATTCCATTTATTTTAAGCGCACACACATCAGCAGTTGGAAGTGCATGGGAAAACCTAAGAACCCAGTTTGTGTGAACTGATTAAAATCAATAACATTCAATACAGACTTTTGGATGTTTCTCATGCATTTTGTTTCATTATGCTGTAACAACTTAGGGGGCTTTGTGTAACATGGAAAGGAGGGGTAAGGCTGTAATGAGCTGCAAGGAACACTTTGATCTACCAAACACATTGAGAAAGCATGGGGTAGCCTTTAGTTTTCTCAGCTAAAAAATAAATTATTAAATCTTCTCTGTCCAGAAGCTAGAATTATAATATTATAGAAACCTAAGTCTGTCTGTCACACTTTATTTGCACTCTGATTGGCTGACGGAAACAGCCATTGTGCTCCAAGCATGGAGGAGCGCCGCCATTATTCTGAAGCCACACCGAGGACTGGACAGAGGGTGGCTGGCATCGCCTCCGCCGCCTCCTCCCTGCAAGAGGCAGAACAGCGGTAGCATGGGGTGTTAGGTGGCGGCACTCCATCCCAGTCGTCCCCCCCTCCCCTTCCACCTCCTCATCATTATTGGCCTGCAATTGGCTAGTATGTTTAATATTGTTCTAACGTTAGTTTCTTCCCTCTGCTGCCTCCTACCCTCATGCAACAGTTTTTCTTAGAGAAGCAGAAACAGGGAAATGGTGGAGAGATGTTAGTTTTAAAAATTGGAACAAATGAGAGAACAAAACCTAAAATTAACCATTGGCTAGCTCTTGGCTCTCTACTATTCCTTCAGTTTAAAAATTGTTTTTCTTTAAGATTCACAGGTACAACTACAATACAGAGAACATAATGTAAGGAAAGCTAACATACACCTAGATGATCAGAGCTGTTAGGAGTACCACTGACCAAACTTATCTTGGTCTATCATCAGACGTTCAATATCCTGGAGAACAAAAGCAGAATTCTGTGGTATACAGTGTAAGTGATAGAGACATGAACAAAGCAATGTCTTAAGTTCCTGCTCTTACTTATTCCAGTGCATATGCTAAATACATTCAGAGCAAGATTCTTCATGTGGAAAAGGGAAAAAACTGGATGAGCTAGTTGGACAATATCTCTTGTGTAGTACTTGTAAATGGACCTCAAGGATACTTACCCTTATACTATTCATCAGTTGTCTCAGATTACTAATACAAGGAAAGGCGAGTTGAGAAACTGGTTGGGAAAGACTGATGAAGAGAGATGGCCTCTATTGACAAAACTAGTTGTCTTTTCACTGGATAGCTCCCCACCTTTACATCAAATTCAAAAGTGACAAGGTTTAAATAGGAAATGAAAAAGAGAGTTATGATAACCAAAAAGAAAAGCAGCATGTTGAATGAAAGAGGAAGGAACTAGTTTCCTGCTTTTAAACAGTTATAAGAAAATGGAAGCATGTGCTACTTAAGTCATCTCTGATGGATATGGACTTACAACTTTTTAGTCATTCTTTTCCAGTCATTCTTATTCTTCCAAAGAAGTCAAACACACTATTAAACAATTAAACTGTAAACTTATCGCCAGTAAACTCAGCTTAATGATTTCAAGCTTCATGGCTGAAGTAGTTTGATTTAGTCTTGACAGTTATGTCTCAGATGTGTGAAAAATAACACAAGCTCCTGCCCATGAGTACATCAGGCTTAAGTTCAGGTCCCTCTGTTAGCACTGAATCTGTCAGACCCATTAAAGAACTTGATCCTAAAGCATCAGAGCAATTGATTAATCAAGCTGTAGCTATATGAGAAACCAAAATCCGATCTCTGAACCAGAGACAACTTTCTCCCTCTAGAAAGCTGCTGATGCAATAGTGTTAGACCAGGTGTGTCAAATTCATTTGGCCTTCTGGGCCAAATGGGGGGTATGGAGCCAGTCTATAGGCCCAGTCCAGCCTACACATGCCCAAGGACTGGGCCTACAGACTGGCCTCGTATGCCAAATGATGCCCAAGTGCTGCTTGCAGCACACCCCAGCCCTATAGGTGGCAGAGGGGGCCATTCTGGGGCATATGCTATGTGCTGCATGCTACATTCAACATGGGTGGTGGTCTAGGGTGCGTGCTGCTGACGGTGTCTATGCCAGGCTGGGCCCATGCAATGGATCTGGCACACAGGGCTGGTCTATGGGCCTGATCTGGACAGGGCCTGGATCCAGCATGCAGGGGTGGTCCAGTGTAGGTGCTACATGCCCCAGACCTACCCTGTGCTGTATGCAGCCCATGCCAAATGCATTCCACAGTACATCCAGCTGACCCAGTTTGTACTGCATTGTGGCAGGCAGCACTGCTGGCCTAGTGGTACAGGTCTGTAGGCCATTTTTGACACCCCTGTATTAAGACAATGTTAAGACTATAAAGGTAAATTTATAATGCAAGAAATTTTCTTTTACAGAGTAGAGAGTAGAAAGCTGGATAAAAGTATTATGTTCACAGCATTTTTGCTTTATTATTAAAATGCGAGACATTAGGTATGACTTTAGTTTCAGATGCTGTAACTGTTCAAGTTACCATACCTAACAAGCATAGCATAACAAAAAAGGATGTAGTTTTTAAACCAGAAGGCGTATGAAAGTTGTTCTGAAAAATTAAAATTATTTATAGCACTAAAAAAGTCACAGTGCAATCAATGGTTTAATCAAAACACCTACATTATATATATTTAAAGAACATAAATATTTAGTAAATTCACTATGACAAGAAAATAAAAAGGTTTCACATTCTCTCTCATGTTTTTTTTTTAAACTGCAGACAAAGAGACAGACACATTCCAGAGACAGACACGGCTTAGCTTCACAAACATATCTTTAGCTTAAAGGGCTGAACATTATCTTAGATATCACAATAGGAATTTGTTGTTCTG